CATGGGCCACGAAGTTTCCTTCGCACTGTACGTGCGCACCCGCACGTGGTATTTTGTGGAAGAGCCACACTCAAGGGGCCAAAGAGCCGCATGTGGCTCGTGAGCCGCAGTTTGCCGACCACTGGTCTATCCATCTATCAATTTTATGAAAGCTAATCTGGTTGACGGGTATTTTTTAAAATATATTTTTATGGATCTCAGAGAGAAAGGGAGAAGGAGAGAGAGATAGAAACATCAATGATGAGAGAGAATCATGGATCGGCTGCCTCCTGCATGCCCCACACTGGGGATCAAGCCCACAACCCGGGTATGTGCCCTGACCTGGAATCGAACAGTGACCTCCTGGTTCAGAGGTCAACACTCACCCACTGAGCCACACCGGCTGGCCTGGTTGAGGGGTGTTTTACTTAGAGCCGACCAGCGCCCTCTGTCTGTTACATTTGGGTATGGAGTGACAGGGAGGGGTGTGGGCGTCCTTTTCTTCTAGTAAGAAGCTCTGTTCTGGAAGACTGCAGGTGCCCACGTGTTTATAGGCACAGGGAACGGCACTCACTTTATGTCTGTTGCACCCACGGTCTGTCATCAGCGACTAAGATACCGCGGGGATGCCTGCGGGTCACATGGCTGTGTGCATCTTTCCCGACTGGCGTCATGTCCCCAGGTTCCAGACCGAGGTGAACTACGACACCCTGGAGGTGCGGGACGGGCCGGGCAGCTCGTCCCCGCTGATCGGGGAGTACCAGGGCACGCAGGCCCCCCAGTTCCTCATCAGCACGGGCAACTCCATGCGCCTGCTCTTCACCACGGACAGCAGCCGGGCCAGCGTGGGCTTCCTCATCCGCTACGAGAGTGAGTCCTGGCCTGTCCCCGTCCCTGTCCCCGTCCCCATCCATGTCCCTGTCCCTGTCCCGTCCCCCTGCTCCAGCAAGGTGCCTGGGGGCTCAGGACACCTGGGCTGGGAGACAGCATGTAGGTGACACCGCCGCCTGATCTCCGAACTCTCTCTCCTACCCAGAGAGCAGCTTGGGGAACTTTGCTTGAAAAGGCATATCTGTTTATCTTAAAGTAAAACAACACAGTAATTAAAACAATGAAATGTCTTCTCACTACATAAGGTAATCACAGACCTGTACTGTCAGAAAGTCACCTGTTAACAGCGCACATCCCGGAGATGGCTCATCCTGGACAATAGTGTTTGCTGGAAATGTGACTACCAGGTGTGGCCTCAGCACCTGCCCCTCCTGGGGATATAGACCCTCAGGGGCAGCCCCAGCACCTGCCCCTCCTGGGGATATAGACCCTCAGGGGCAGCCCCAGCACCTGCCCCTCCTGGGGATATAGACCCTCAGGGGCAGCCCCAACACCTGCTGTTCCTGGGGATATAGACCCTCAGGGGCAGCCCCAGCACCTGCTGTTCCTGGGGATATAGACCCTCAGGGGTGGCCTCAGCACCTGCTGCTCCTGGGGATATAGACCCTCAGGTGTGGCCTCAGCACCTGCTGCTCCTGGGGATATAGACCCTCAGGGGTGGCCTCAGCACCTGCTGCTCCTGGGGATATAGACCCTCAGGTGTGGCCACAGCACCTGCCACTCCTGGGGATATAGACCCGCAGGGGTGGCCTCAGCCCACCTTGGATGACTGACTCCCTCCATCAGGAGATCCCCACAGTCGGGATGACCTCCCGGAGGCTGGCTCCCTGTGGATGGAGCCACACCCTTACCACGCATTTCTGAATCGTGGCTCAGACGTCCTGCTCGTGTCTCCGATTGAGGCACATGTCGCTGTGCTAATGAAGAAATGCCGTCCCACTACTTAGTCCAGTGGTCGGCAAACTGCGGCTAGGCAAACCACGGCTCGCGAGCCACATGCGGCTCTTTGGCCCCTTCAGTGTGGCTCTTCCACAAAATACCAGCTTTTCCACAAAATACCGACTTCTGTGCATGCGCCACGAAGTTTCAGTTGCACTGTACGTGCGCGCCCGCACGTGGTATTTTGTGGAAGAGCCACCCTGAAGGGGCCAAAGAGCCTCATGTGGCTCACGAGCCGCGGTTTGCCGACCACGGACTTCGTCTGAAATGTCACTCCGTAGCTGTGTTTCATGTCCTGGACGTCCTAGAGGGAGGGACAGCCACCCAGACTTGAGCTCAGTATATGCAGCGCTTAGACTGTTATCCCAAAGGTCATCGCGGGGAACTGAGCAGTAGGAATGCTGGTAATAATATAGGATTTCTGGAGAATACTTCATGTCATAATCGTAACTTTCTGAGCTTTATTATAAGGTTTTGTATAGCAATAATGTCTTTTTTCTTTATTTTCATTTATAAACATTGCAATGATATTCTCTTTCCTTCTTCCCATTTTCCTTATTTTCAAAATATGTGCTATTCTAAGAGCAAAGAGCCATGTGAGAGACAGAGGAGAGAACGGGTACGATGACATGAGCCTGACCATGTGACCTGAGACAGCACTTCCCTTTCACACCTGTGAGCACAGGCTGATGTCGCCCCCTGGAGAGTGGCCGACTTAGTGCACATTTGCAGCCAACGTGTGGGTGTGTGGAAGGCAGTCTCAGGATCGGCCCAGGGCAGCCTCACTGTGCATCATACCTGTGGGCCTGGGCATGGGCGCCTCTATGGGAAAGCTGAGCGCCACGGCCCTAACCCAGCGGGACATACGATGCCGAGAGCGGGGAGAGGAGGAGGGGGACGGAATCTGAGCACAGACTGGGCTTCCTTGGCGTCCTTCCTGTCCTTACTGAGAGTCCAAGGAAGCAAAGTGCAGTCCAGGGCGGCAGCGGCTGTTCAGTTCGCACCGGTGGGGTCGCCTGTGAGCAGCACCGTACGCGTCTCCACAGAACGGCAGGGCCGGTGCTCGGGACTCTCCCGCGTGCAGGTGTAGACACGGAGTCCACGTGCCCATTCCCAGAGCTGACCTGTCCCGGCTCCTTCCCAGGCTCCGGGCACAGATACTGCTTTCTCTTCCATAAGCCAGAGGCCCTCCCTCCTGACATGTTCTTGCCGGGCGTGTACCTGTAGGTGTGACTCTCGAGTCGGACGCCTGCCTGGACCCTGGCATCCCTGTGAACGGCCGTCGGCATGGCAGCAACTTCGGCATCGGGTCGACAGTGACCTTCGGCTGCGACCCCGGGTACACACTCAGCGATGACGAGCCGCTAGTCTGCGAGAGGAACCACCAGTGGAACCACGCGCTGCCCAGCTGCGACGGTAGGGGCCCCGCGAGCGCACCCCGAGGAATTCAGGGGCGTGTGTGTGCAGTCGGGGGTATTCTAGGGGGTGAGCGCACCCCGAGGAATGGAGGGGCGTGTGTGTGCAGTTGGGGGGTGTTCTAGGGGGTGAGCGCACCCCGAGGAATGCAGGGGCGTGTGTATGCAGTCGGGGGTGTTCTAGGGGGTGAGCGCACCCCGAGGAATGCAGGGGCGTGCGTGTGCAGTCGGGGTGGCAGGGGTATTCTAGGGGGCGGTGCGAAGTGAGGAAGTGGGACTTCCATCTGACAAAGTGTCACCTTAAATGCTGTCCCCATTTAACATCTCACAGTTACTAGCAAGTTGTGTCTAACAGGGGGAGCGTGGGCTTAGCAAAAAAGAAGGAATAATTAGCCCGGCCAGCGTGGCTCAGTAGCTGAACATCAAACCTGTGAACCAGGAGGTCAGGGTTGGATTCCAGGTCAGGGCACAGGCCCGGATTGCGGGCTCCATCCCCAGTGCGGGGCATGCAGGAGGCAGCCGGTCCATGATTCTCTCTCATCATTTCTCTCTCTCTCTCTCCCTCTCCCTTCCTCTCTGAAATCGATAAAAAATATTTTTTAAAAAAGAAGGAAAAATTATGGGCTGCCCTTCAACTATATTCCCCCAGACACTCAGCCTTACAGAGCTGAGTTATACCCCCGGCCTGAGGCACGGCCTTGGACCCAGGACCAGGCGCCAACAGCCGCATAGAGCTTACCGTCACAGGAGGGTCCTGCTTCAGCTGCTCCGCTCGCTCTGTTATTTTTCTGGGTTTTTGTTTTTTACAATGCTGGACACCTGTAGATGAATTAGCATATTATGATTACAGTAAAATAAAGTTGTGGCTTAGTTTCAGTTATTATGTCGCTGATAGTAGCTGGTCCTTCCGCCCTCGGCCAGTCAAATGTCCCTGTACGTGAATTTCATTCTCGCAGCCGTTCTGAAATGAACATGCAATGACCCTGTCTCACTGTTTTCAGCCCTCTGTGGAGGCTACGTCCACGGGAAGAGCGGGACCGTCCTGTCGCCGGGGTTTCCAGACTTTTACCCAAACTCCCTCAACTGCACCTGGACCATCGAAGTGTCCCACGGAAAAGGTAGGGACACGGCGTCCATCTCCGACCGGCGGTCACTCACAGGGTGGAGATGTGGGGGGAGAGAGGGTGTGAGTGTCTGCGTGAGTCAGCGGACAGGTCTCGTGTGGTTTCGCTGCTGTTTATGTTTTTACACATTTTGGAAGAATAATGGTCTTTAAGTGATTAGTGCTACGAGCAAAAGTGGATTTCTTGTTTTACTGCGTATCTGTCAGATAAACTGGATTTATGCATGTGAGCGTAGACTTGAAAATTCGGCATAACTAAGGAAAGGAGATTGTGTAAGATGTGACTATTGAATAGATAAAAGGAAGTGAGAAGAAATGGACTCAACTTCCAATTCCCCGAGAGACCTGGGCACCCTGGGTGCTGCCTGGGCTTCGACGTTCCCGCGTCATATCTCCACCTGACCCCCCGGGGGCTCTTGGCACAGCTGACCTCTCCCCACTGCACAGGTGCATAGCGGGGACCGGGAAAGGCCCCTTCGTGCCAGGAACGGAGCTCATCACACAGGAAGGGCACAGGGCTGCCCCACGGGTTTCCTTTTAGGTTTTTTGGGGTTTTTTTGAGATGTCTGAACTTGTCGTTTTTGACAAAATAATTTGGGGATTTGATTACATAAGTATCACGTAGACTCACATCTGACCTCTCCTTGAGGTTGGAGTGACACGTGTGTACAATGCTGAGCCCCCGCCCCCAGCAGGCTTGGGAAAGGGTTGGCCTTGAAGAAAGTTAAGAATGAAAAGAGCCACATGATGAATGCCATCACATGGATACGTTTTTCTGAAAAAAGAACCTGTTCATAGCTCATTTCACATATTTCACTCTGGGGATCCAGAAATAATGCTCTGCGGGCACCGTTGCTGGGGGAGCATGTGTGTGAGGCACATACACTGTGCCTTCCCGCAGGTGTGGCGGTACGTGCTGGGCGGTCCAAGCTAAGATTTCCTCTAGGGCAGGGGTCCTCAAACTTTTTAAACAGGGGGCCAGTTCATTGTCCCTCAGACCGTTGGAGGGCCGGACTATAGTTTAAAAAAAAACTATGAACAAATTCCTATGCACACTGCACATATCTTATTTTGAAGTGAAAACACAAAACGGGAACAAATACAATATTTGTATTTGCATGTGGCCCGTGGGCTGTAGTTTGAGGACCCCTGCTCTAGGGCATCTGTTCAACGCAAATGGGGAGGTTCTCTCGTCCGTCATTCCAAATGCTCTGCTTAAAGGCCCAGCGACCATTTCTGCATGCAGGCCATGGTCAAGTCCGCCACATGTACTTCTGTCTCTATCCCTCACTATAAATCTGTATCTATGTCTATATCTATATCTATCTATATCTATCTATACCTGCATCTATATCTATATCTATGTCTATATCTATATCTATACCTACATCTGTATCTATTTCTATAAACTATATATCTATATCTATTAGTAAGTATATATCTATGTCTATATCTCTATATCTATACCTACATCTATATCTATTTCTATAAACTATATATGTATATCTACTAGTAAGTATATATCTATGTCTATATATCTATATCTATACCTACATCTATATCTATAGCTACTAGTAAGTATATATCTATGTCTGTATCTATATCTATACCTACATGTATATCTCTTTCTATAAACTATATATCTATATCTACTAGTAAGTTTATATCTATGTCTGTATCTATATATCAATATCTAGCTATCTCTACATCTTTATCTATATCTGTGTCTCCATCTTGCCTACACTGGTATTAGATCTATGTTGATTGATGTCTATGTATCTATACCTACATCTACCATTACACTTATATATACTTAAACATTTATTCATTTTTGCTGTTTACCTCGCTTATTTCTTTCATTTCTAAAGCCACACTCTTTCACCCATTGTCTGCATGGACTTCAAAGCTTAAGGTTAAATTTGGATTCCAGACAGATTTCTCACAGCCCAAAAGGAAGCATCTCCAGCAACGTTCTCCCTCCCATTCCGTGTTTCTTATGGATCTCCTTCTCTGTGACTCTCATGGATCCCCCTCCCCGTGTCTCTCATGGATCCCCCTCTCTGTGTCTCTCATGGATCCCCCTCCGTGTCTCTATTGGATCCCCCTCCGTGTCTCTCATGGATCCCCCTCCGTGTCTCTATTGGATCCCCCTCCGTGTCTCTCATGGATCCCCCTCCGTGTCTCTATTGGATCCCCCTCCGTGTCTCTCATGGATCCCCCTCCGTGTCTCTATTGGATCCCCCTCCGTGTCTCTCATGGATCCCCCTCCGTGTCTCTATTGGATCCCCCTCCGTGTCTCTCATGGATCCCCCTCCGTGTCTCTATTGGATCCCCCTCCGTGTCTCTCATGGATCCCCCTCCGTGTCTCTATTGGATCCCCCTCCGTGTCTCTCATGGATCCCCCTCCGTGTCTCTATTGGATCCCCCTCCGTGTCTCTCATGGATCCCCCTCCGTGTCTCTATTGGATCCCCCTCCGTGTCTCTCATGGATCCCCCTCCCTGTCTCTCCTGGATCCCCCTCCATGTCTCTCATGGATCCCCCTCCGTGTCTCTCATGGATCCCCTCTCCGTGTCTCTCATGGATCCCCTCTCCGTGTCTCTCATGGATCCCCTCTCCGTGTCTCTCATGGATCCCCTCTCCGTGTCTCTCATGGATCCCCTCTCCGTGTCTCTCATGGATCCCCTCTCCGTGTCTCTCATGGATCCCCTCTCCGTGTCTCTCATGGATCCCCTCTCCGTGTCTCTCATGGATCCCCTCTCCGTGTCTCTCATGGATCCCCTCTCCGTGTCTCTCATGGATCCCCTCTCCGTGTCTCTCATGGATCCCCTCTCCGTGTCTCTCATGGATCCCCTCTCCGTGTCTCTCATGGATCCCCTCTCCGTGTCTCTCATGGATCCCCTCTCCGTGTCTCTCATGGATCCCCTCTCCGTGTCTCTCATGGATCCCCTCTCCGTGTCTCTCATGGATCCCCTCTCCGTGTCTCTCATGGATCCCCTCTCCGTGTCTCTCATGGATCCCCTCTCCGTGTCTCTCATGGATCCCCTCTCCGTGTCTCTCATGGATCCCCTCTCCGTGTCTCTCATGGATCCCCTCTCCGTGTCTCTCATGGATCCCCTCTCCGTGTCTCTCATGGATCCCCTCTCCGTGTCTCTCATGGATCCCCTCTCCGTGTCTCTCATGGATCCCCTCTCCGTGTCTCTCATGGATCCCCTCTCCGTGTCTCTCATGGATCCCCTCTCCGTGTCTCTCATGGATCCCCTCTCCGTGTCTCTCATGGATCCCCTCTCCGTGTCTCTCATGGATCCCCTCTCCGTGTCTCTCATGGATCCCCTCTCCGTGTCTCTCATGGATCCCCTCTCCGTGTCTCTCATGGATCCCCTCTCCGTGTCTCTCATGGATCCCCTCTCCGTGTCTCTCATGGATCCCCTCTCCGTGTCTCTCATGGATCCCCTCTCCGTGTCTCTCATGGATCCCCTCTCCGTGTCTCTCATGGATCCCCTCTCCGTGTCTCTCATGGATCCCCTCTCCGTGTCTCTCATGGATCCCCTCTCCGTGTCTCTCATGGATCCCCTCTCCGTGTCTCTCATGGATCCCCTCTCCGTGTCTCTCATGGATCCCCTCTCCGTGTCTCTCATGGATCCCCTCTCCGTGTCTCTCATGGATCCCCTCTCCGTGTCTCTCATGGATCCCCTCTCCGTGTCTCTCATGGATCCCCTCTCCGTGTCTCTCATGGATCCCCTCTCCGTGTCTCTCATGGATCCCCTCTCCGTGTCTCTCATGGATCCCCTCTCCGTGTCTCTCATGGATCCCCTCTCCGTGTCTCTCATGGATCCCCTCTCCGTGTCTCTCATGGATCCCCTCTCCGTGTCTCTCATGGATCCCCTCTCCGTGTCTCTCATGGATCCCCTCTCCGTGTCTCTCATGGATCCCCTCTCCGTGTCTCTCATGGATCCCCTCTCCGTGTCTCTCATGGATCCCCTCTCCGTGTCTCTCATGGATCCCCTCTCCGTGTCTCTCATGGATCCCCTCTCCGTGTCTCTCATGGATCCCCTCTCCGTGTCTCTCATGGATCCCCTCTCCGTGTCTCTCATGGATCCCCTCTCCGTGTCTCTCATGGATCCCCTCTCCGTGTCTCTCATGGATCCCCTCTCCGTGTCTCTCATGGATCCCCTCTCCGTGTCTCTCATGGATCCCCTCTCCGTGTCTCTCATGGATCCCCTCTCCGTGTCTCTCATGGATCCCCTCTCCGTGTCTCTCATGGATCCCCTCTCCGTGTCTCTCATGGATCCCCTCTCCGTGTCTCTCATGGATCCCCTCTCCGTGTCTCTCATGGATCCCCTCTCCGTGTCTCTCATGGATCCCCTCTCCGTGTCTCTCATGGATCCCCTCTCCGTGTCTCTCATGGATCCCCTCTCCGTGTCTCTCATGGATCCCCTCTCCGTGTCTCTCATGGATCCCCTCTCCGTGTCTCTCATGGATCCCCTCTCCGTGTCTCTCATGGATCCCCTCTCCGTGTCTCTCATGGATCCCCTCTCCGTGTCTCTCATGGATCCCCTCTCCGTGTCTCTCATGGATCCCCTCTCCGTGTCTCTCATGGATCCCCTCTCCGTGTCTCTCATGGATCCCCTCTCCGTGTCTCTCATGGATCCCCTCTCCGTGTCTCTCATGGATCCCCTCTCCGTGTCTCTCATGGATCCCCTCTCCGTGTCTCTCATGGATCCCCTCTCCGTGTCTCTCATGGATCCCCTCTCCGTGTCTCTCATGGATCCCCTCTCCGTGTCTCTCATGGATCCCCTCTCCGTGTCTCTCATGGATCCCCTCTCCGTGTCTCTCATGGATCCCCTCTCCGTGTCTCTCATGGATCCCCTCTCCGTGTCTCTCATGGATCCCCTCTCCGTGTCTCTCATGGATCCCCTCTCCGTGTCTCTCATGGATCCCCTCTCCGTGTCTCTCATGGATCCCCTCTCCGTGTCTCTCATGGATCCCCTCTCCGTGTCTCTCATGGATCCCCTCTCCGTGTCTCTCATGGATCCCCTCTCCGTGTCTCTCATGGATCCCCTCTCCGTGTCTCTCATGGATCCCCTCTCCGTGTCTCTCATGGATCCCCTCTCCGTGTCTCTCATGGATCCCCTCTCCGTGTCTCTCATGGATCCCCTCTCCGTGTCTCTCATGGATCCCCTCTCCGTGTCTCTCATGGATCCCCTCTCCGTGTCTCTCATGGATCCCCTCTCCGTGTCTCTCATGGATCCCCTCTCCGTGTCTCTCATGGATCCTCCTCTCTGTGTCTCTCATGGGTCCCCCTCCGTGTCTCTCACGGGCCTCCCTCATCGTGTCTCTCACGTATCTCCACCGTTGCTCTCAGGGGTCCAGATGATGTTCCACACCTTCCACCTGGAGAGCTCGCACGACTACCTGCTGGTCACGGAGGACGGGAGCTTCTCGGAGCCCGTGGCCCGGCTCACGGGGTCGGTGCTGCCCCACACGATCAAGGCGGGCTTGTTCGGCAACTTCACCGCCCAGCTGCGCTTCATCTCGGACTTCTCCATCTCCTACGAGGGCTTCAACATCACCTTCTCAGGTGCGCTGGCTCTTCCGCTCTTTCTAGAAATAATAGTACTGTGTGTGTATAAGCGCATGTGTGTGCATGTGTGTGGGTGTGTGGTGGGCGTGAATGTGTGTCTGTGTGTGTGAATGTGGAGTGTATGGATGTGTGTGTGTGTGAGTGTGAGGTGTATGTGTGTGGGTGTGGTTGTGTGCATGTGGGGGGGGTGTGGTTGTGTGCATGCATATGGGGTGTGTGTGCATGTGTGTGGAGTGTGTGGGGGTGTGGTTGTGTGCATGCATGTGGTGGTGTAGCCATGTGCATGCATATAGGGGGTGTGTGCATGTGTGTGGGGGTGTAGCCCTGTGCATGCATATGGGGGTGCATGTGTGTGGGTTTGTGTGTGTGTGAGTGTGGGGTGTGTGGTGGTGTGTAGTTGTGTGCATGTGTGTGGGTTGTATGTGTGCATGTGTGAGTGTGGGGTGTGTGTTGGGTGTGTGGTTGTGAGTATGGTTGTGTGTATGTGAGTGTGGGGTGTGGGGTATGGTTGTGTGCGTGTATGTGGGGGGTAGGGTGGTGTGCGGTTGTGTGTTTGGTGGGTGTAGTTGTGTGTGAGTGTGTGTGTGTGAGTGTGGTGTGTTTGGTGGTGTGTAGTTGCGTGCATGCGTGTGGGTTGTGTGTGTGTGAGTGTGGGGTGTGTGGTGGTGTATAGTGTGTGCATGTGTGTGGGTTGTGTGTGTGTGAGTGTGGGGTGTGTGGTGGTGTGTAGTTGTGTGCATGTGTGTGGGTTGTATGTGTGCATGTGTGAGTGTGGGGTGTGTGTTGGGTGTGTGGTTGTGTGTGTGATTAGAGATAAGTGGCCGAGAAATAACTCTGATTGGTTGGTGGGAAGCGAGAGAACAGACGCCTGGTGGCCCCCATGGGACTCCACTCTGCGATCCTCAGTGGAGAAATGTGGGTATCACTGTCTTTCCCACAAGCCCTCGCGCTCCTGGCCGGCATTTCACCCGCCTCTGGAGACAGTGGCCTTGCTGGAGGCGCCATTGGGACCCTGAGCCGGTCATTTCGGGTCCTGCCCTCCTGCGAGGTCCGTGCCTGCATCTCACCTTGGGGTGAAGACATTCAAACAGGCGCCCGCCCCCCACACTTTCCATGGACGGACACGCGGCTCAGTGGCCCGAGCGGTGACGTCGGCTGCAGTTGTGCCGGAGACGGACACGGCACTGTGGCTCGGACGGGCACAGACGCGCTGTTAGGACCTGCGTTTGGAGGCTGAGTCCCCCAGCGCAGCAACACGCGGGCATCGTCCCTTTTACCCTGAGTCCTCACCTTCCTCCTGTGAGGCACCGAGCTCCCAGCAGCCGGGGAATATCGCCCATTGGGTGCCCACAGCCCCGGCCGCCACTGACAACAGGTGGGAGAGGCCTGGCCCGAGGTCCGCAGCAGAGGGGGTGGCACACAGCTTCCCGCCAGCGTCGCCTCTAGGAGTTCATGCCCACGTGTGGGTTCCTCGGCGACACTGTGAGAGGAGGGGGAGTGACCTCAGTGATTAGAAATCGTAAAATACTAATAGCTTCCCACCATTACAGAGGCAGCTGGGAAAGGGCCGTCTTCCTTGGTGATAAGTCTCCTTAAAACACTCACGCTGAGGCCACTGGTGTGAGGAGCGCTCACGCAGGAGGAACAGGACTGGCCCGCGGGCACCGGGGTCGGGAGGCACCTGTGTGCGTCGGTCACTGCCCCTCGCGGCCGGCCTGTCACTGTTTTCTGAACGAGTCTGAGCGTCTGCCAGACTCCCACGCCTGCTCTCTCCCCGCGCAGAGTACGACCTGGAGCCGTGCGAGGACCCCGGCGTCCCCGCCTTCAGCCGCAGGATGGGCTTCCGCTTCGGGGTCGGGGACGCGCTGACCTTCTCCTGCTTCGCGGGGTACCGCCTGGAGGGGGCCACCACGCTGACCTGCCTGGGCGGGGGCCGCCGGGTGTGGAGTGCGCCTCTGCCAAGGTGTGTGGGTAGGTGGTCACACGCTTTCATTTCATTCATCCAGGGGGGCCGGGCC